TCCTCTGGAAAAAGTTTTGACAGCTATTTCGATTATATTATTAAAATCAAGAGACATAGCTCAAGAACAACAGATTGTTTTATTTACACCTGTTGCTTCACTAAATGCTCTGCAAAAACAAACAATTACAGAAAGAAAGGCTTTAAAAAGCCGTTGGCTCAAATGGTATGCTCTGTTAGAGGATCCACAACTGACCTTTATTCATGACAAAACACTACCAACATTAGGTGATCTACCAACCTCACCAGATTCTGAAAATAAATGGGAAAGGCAGACACACCCTAATGATTTTTATTAAGTTATATTTTATACAGATGGGTCAGCTGTAAATTCTTTAGCCGAAAACAAAAATACATCTGCAAGTTGCGGTATTGTAAAATGTGTACCAGGACAGGTAGATCAGACTTGGTCAATACCCATAGGTGATCATTCAGCACAGTTTGCCGAAAAAATGCATATACACATGCTTTAAAGGAAAGTTTGTCAATAGTGGGGCCGGTTTTGATAGTGACAGACTCAGCTTATCTCGCAAGATCCACTGTACAAGATCTCTCAGTCTGGCGCTCAAATGGTTTTCTTACAGTACAACGTAAACCGTTGAAACATAATTCTTTGTGGAAACAAATTGATGCATATTTGCAAAAGAAACCTGACATTGAAATTGTGTATGAACCTGCACACAGGAAGTTAGGTTCTTCAACTCATACAGTTGGTAACCAGCTGGCAGACACTTTGGCGCAAAGTGTCAGCCACAGCTATTCTGTTAACGTGGTCACTAGATCACAGAAACATACCCTTTCTCTCAAAGTAGATGCAGAGTTAAATGCTTGCCTGGATAAGACCAGACGTAATCCAGCTGGCTATCCTACCAAATACTCCTATCATCTAGAAGGGGTTGATTGTATAGTAACCATTGACGGTAATAACTTAATTGTTCCGCCTGTAAAGGAGAGGGAAAAACTTGCACTAGAGGCTCATTCAGGATTGGGACAAGCTCATTTGGGTAGAGATAATGCACTTATTACTCTGAAAAGGAGATAGTGGTGGCCCAATATGAGAAGGACTGTTGTTCATGTTATTCGTAATTGTAAGCAATGCTTATTAGTGAATAGACCGAATCATTCAGTCGTACCATTTATTGAATAATCAATACCTAATGTACCTTTTGAATTATTTTATATTGATCATATTGGACCTTTGCCACCATCCCATGGTTATAAATATGTTTTATTATGTGTTGATGCATGTACCAGGTTTACTTGGTTATACCCTGTGCGAAGTGTGACCTCTAATACCACGATTGCTAGTCTCACTTCCTTAGTATGCATTTGTAAACCTAGGACCATCCACTCGGATGGTGGTCCTGCATTTACTGCAAAAGAATCCCAGAACTAGGCAACCTCGTTTGGGTTACTTTGGGAAATCAGTGCACCCACCCACCCACAAAGTTGTGGGGTTGTGGAACGGAAAAATGCTGAGGTGAAAAGACTATTAACCAAGTTGCTAGTTGCTCGCCCCACACAGTGGTATCCACTTATTCTTATGGTATGTGGGGATATTTATGGGATAATAATAGTAAACAGTGAGAATTGCCCACTAATTCAATTCTCAGATCCCAAAGATCATTATCGTGAAAGTAAAAAGTATTTCATATAAATAAAATCACAATTAATGATCACAATGTGTTATAAAAATAGATTTATTTATTATGACCAATAATTAACAATAATATTAGGTAGCATGTATGATAATAATCAATGAATATCCAGTATAAAATGATATGCAATACAAAATGGCAATTTTGTACTTCCACTGGTTAACACAGTATAGAATCTACAACATTAGCTGTCAAGAGAAGATTTATGACTGTCTTTCACAGAGAGAAAGAAAAAGTTTCACGCAGAGAACAGAATTCTTCAGAGTGCAGCGTAAGGTCGTAAAGTTTAGCTGACAGTTAGGATAACCCTTTCAATGCTGGGTAGACCTCCTAGGTAATTAAGATCTATTCTTATGTAATTTTAAATAAAATAACATTTAAACCAGTTCATTAGTCATTTCCTGGAACCATCCAATAAGAATAATCTACCAGATTTTTACAAAAGCCGAATTTAATTTGTCTAAAAGATATCTTATATTAGAGCAAATCAATACACCTGGATAAAACAGCGGTATGCTAACATGTGATACTATCACATTAATATATAATTATTCTTAATTCCACCTGCAGAATGGAATGTTTATAACTATATATTCTTTAGTTAACTAAGATTTCTAAATATGGAAATCTGACCGTGATTTATCCAGTCATATATCATGCTATTAGAAAATTTTAATTAATTTAATTAATTAAATGAAACCAGTATAATTACCAGTTATGTAGATATTCTCTTCAGATGAGTAGGTAGTCTCAGGAACTTATTTGGATGTCTCTCTGCATGGAGGTGTGTAGGAATTTCTGAGTGTCCTAGAGTGTATATCTGTCATAGGCCTCTCTGCATTGCTCCCTTCTTTGCTTCCTTTGTATACCCTTGTATTTCTCGCCTCCCTTTCTCCTCTTTTCCCTCTGTCTTAACTTTTTAAAGGGAAAATTCACTAAATGATAGACCAATAGGAACACTGGAGGTGTGGTTACCTTCCAGATAGCAATTTAGTATTTGGTCTATAGAGGGCAGTCT